TTTTTTTTGCTTCAGGTGATTTTAAGTGAGAACCATCTGAGCCTCCATAGCTTCTCCATGTCCTCTGCCTCAGCTGAAGCTCTGACATCACCTCTTTTTTTTCCTGCAGTCGAGAGCAAAGCAGCTGTACGCTGCCGGCTACAAGACACTGACTCACCTGGCGAACGCCGACCCAGCCGCTCTCTGCACAGCCATCCAGAACCTGTACAGGAAACAGGCCAATCAGATCGTGGCCTCGGCCAAGGTGAGACTGTCCTCATAGATCACACCCACACGAGCTGATCACCGTACCTGAAATCAGCGCAAGTACTGATGGTGTTAAATGACTGATGTGATGCTCTGTGGAGCTGACAACACTCACAGTCGTTCTCTGTGTTTGATGACATTACAGTGTGAAGAAACACTGAAACAGGGAGTTTAACTGTGACAGTTTCTTTGTTTCAGATGCTCGTGAGTGAGAAAGCCGCAGCTCTGCAGGAGGAAGTGGATGAACTGCTGGCGCTGCCCTCTGACCTGCCACAGCTCTGACATCTTCTCAGGAGTTCTACCCTCTTTGAACACTTCTGATCTCACTGTGACATCATTTCTTATTAAAGTAACTGGGATGTCCTCGCCGTGCCTGTGTCAGAAGCTTCACTTCCTGTTCTCCTCACCACCTTTCAGCCATTTATTGCGCTCTTATTTTGTCGTCTGTACTTCTTGTTATCACACTGAGAACACGAAGGTAGTTTTTTCACGCGAGGAAACGTTAAAGGTCATTTTCTGCTCGTTAAAGGTTTCAGCTTCACCTGAGCAGTGTGAGTGTGTCAGGTGAGCTCAAGTGAGTCTGTCTCAACCTCAGGTGCCATCAGCAGGAAGCTGTCAGCTGTTTTTGCCATGACATCATCATGTCTTCACCTCCACCGCACACAGAATATGTCAGTTGATGGAGGGCGACCTGCACCTGATGGTTCACTGCTTTGAGAAAATGACTCATTACTGCGACTTTTCTCATTTTAGTAAATTTTAAACATTAAATATTTAAACTTTATTTTTTGTCTGTGTTTTTTGAGCATTTATTTATTCTGGAAACTGAAAATAATTTGTCTGCTACATCAGACAGCTGACCTACCAAAATAAAAGCATGTGTGTCATCAAATAAAAAATGTGTAATCTGTTTTTATTTGCAGTGGATTCATTTGATTTTTAATTTCAGTTTGTTTGGTTAAGTCGAACTGTTTCCATTTTTGATGATATATTTTTGACATTTTTCTCTTATTTGGAAGATTTTGGTGTTCTTTAGATGTGTTCATATTTTTTGACATTTTAATCTACATTTTAGGTCATCTGATTTTTTTTGTCTTTAAATATAAAAATATTTAAAACGGTTTTTGTTTTTTAAAAATCATGAATTCTGAGGACATAAATTTGAGTCTTTTGATAATTTAATTTAGTGTTGGTTTGTGGGCTGTGGTCTCATATGTGTTTGTGGGACATTTTATTAATATTTAATTTAATTTTTGACTTTTTGTCATAGTTTCGTTTTTTTAAGCATTAAATATTATTATGTATTTTTATTGAGTTTTGTATTCGTGGGACAGTTCATGCGTGTTTCTGTCACGGTAACATGTTCGCAGGTTTCTGGCTCGTTATTAGATGAATATTAATTTCAGGTCTTTGATCACTGATCGATTGATGGTGTGTCGTCTCTCGTGATTCCTGCTGAAATGTTGGACCTGCATATAAGTTCGTGGTTTGAGGTCCCGGTCGTTCTGTGTGCGCGCACGAGGACGCGAAACAGGAAGTGTGACAGACATGAGGCTCGCGCTGCTGCTGTGCGAGCTCTGCTGCACCGGGACTCTGGTATCCGGAGGATCCCGGCTCCCTGATGGACACCCCGGGGAACCGGACCGGGACCCCGGTCTGGGTTTGGGCGTAGACGTGTCGGCCCCTCTGCGACGAGTGGATCCGCGCTTTCTGTCCGTGACCATCGACGCGAGTCTGGCTTCACAGGAGAGCTTCGTGTGGCTACTGAGGTGAGCTTTGACTCTTAATCCACCGACGATTGTCCCGTTAAACAGGAAACAACGGGTTAAAACAGACGGGAGGTCAGAGGTCACAAAATCAAAAACTCTAAGGAACAAAACTTTCAAACTTTTGTTTCACTTTCAAATCTGATCCTGAGTCAGTTCACCTGAAACCTGTTAGCTCCGCCTCCCGCAGTCTCAGACCAGGTGAGCATCACCTGCAGTTCAAGTTTGGACTTCAAAAAAACCCCTGATTTAAAAGGTTTAAAGGATTGAGAAGTAAGGTGATCCTGAGTCGATCCAGGTTTCACTTCTGTTTCCAGAGTTCCTGTTTCAGCAGGAGCACACCCGAGAACCACAAACACTCTTAGATCTGAGAATAACCCTCATAACCCGCTGACCCTCATAACCTGATCATCTGAAATAAAACTGCTGTAAATTTGAACTTTGAATCTCGACAGCCAAACTTAGATTCATGTTTCTCTGTGAATCCGACACGTTTGTGCTCCGGGAATAAACTCGAGCTCCAAAATCCCTTCTGTTTCAGTAACATGATAGATGTGAGATAATCAGCAGAGATCTCTGCATGTGGAAACCAGAGGTCAGAGGTCACGAGTAAAATCATTTCCAAAGTCTCAAAACCGGGAAAGGAAATCAAGTTAAAGTCACATGTTTGTAGTCAAAACGGTTGACCAACTTAAAAACTATGACATCAGAGTTATTCTTCGTAATCCTTCAGGAGTTGTGACAACAAAATAATTTCAAAACTTAGATTTCAGATCAAAGATCAAAGTGAGACAGAGCTGGGGTCGTTTAAAACCAGCAGGTTTCGGTGCTTTGACCTGCGAATATTTCTGAGCATTCTTTGATGTGAACTGCATGCTGCTGTCAGTGTAGCAGTGCATCATGGGAGTGACTCTGAGGTTTCTCTGCAGCTCTCGAAGGATGAGGACGCTTGCAGCAGCTCTGAGTCCGGCCTTCCTGCGATTTGGGGGGACGCGGCAGGACTTCATGGTGTTTGAGCCTCACAGGAGGCAACAGTGGGAGAAGCCTCAGGACGCTGCAGGTAAACACGATCACCTTGTGACCTCTCTGACATCACACTGATCTGGAACATGTTTATTTCTTTGTTTTATTTACAGGAAATGTTTTTTTTAATGTGTCATGTGATTCTTTTGTTTTTAGTCTAAGTTCAGGTTGGAGACGTTTTCTTCTTATTCAGTTTTTAAGTGTTGAAGCTTTTAAATAGTGACCGTTGAAACTCCCAGGTGAGTCATGTGATCAGACTTTCCTACCCCCGTGGATGGAGGAGCGTCTGAAGTGCGACTGGGCGAAGCAGAAGCTGGTCCTGATGAAGGAGGACCTGCTGAGTACATACAGGAGCTTCTTCTTCACAGGTGAGTCCTGATGTCTGTCAGGCGTTGCCATGGAGATGCCACCCGTCCTCTGACTGTCGTCTCCCTCTCAGAGCTCACCGTGGACCAGCTGCATGCCTTCGCCAACTGCTCTGGCTTCCAGCTCATCTTCGGCCTGAATGCTCTGCTGAGGACGGCTGACAACAGCTGGAACAACAGCAACGCTGCCCTGCTGCTGCAGTACTGCCAGTCCAGACATTATGGGATGTCCTGGGAGCTCGGAAACGGTACGACTCCTTCTCTGATCAGCTGATAATCAATAATCACAGAGCCTCAATCAGCGTTTTTTCTTGAGTCTGTGACCTGCTTATTTAGGCCTGCAGACTTTATTCTGCCTTTTATTTTGAAATGCAGCTCAGAGTGATGTGTGTTTCCTACCACCTGATCAAACTCATAAATCAGAGCATCAGTAACAGGCTGACACTGTTAGTGTAAAATCTTCTCAGGCTCCTCCTTCTTCTTTTTTCTGCTTTCAGTGATAATATCTGGCATAACGCTGAAACGCTGCGGTTTCTTATCCAATGTTTCAGTTTCACTTCCTCGCCTTCATGTGACGCTCAGACAGGAAGTCACCTTTCTTCTTTACATGATCTCTAATCAAAGTGATCTCTAATCAGAGCCAAACAGCTTCGAGAAAAAGGCCGGGATCCGGGTGGATGGGCATCAGCTCGGGCTGGACTTCATTCGTCTCAGGAAGATGATGTCAGAGTCCAAACTGTACCAAGATGCTGGGCTGTACGGGCCGGACGTTGGCCAGCCGAGAAACCACCACGTAGACTTACTGGACGGGTGAGAGGTCAAAGGTCACCGTACAGAGACTGCTCATGAAAAGTTTCTGCTGTCAACACAAAAGAACATAAAATGTTTGGAAAAATATATATATATATATATTTTTTTTTTTTCAATGAATTTTTTTCCTCACATGAAATTTTGCGTTATGAATTTTTGAAAACAAGACACATAATAAAAAATGAACTTTTTTTACTTTATTTCTCTCTGTTTTCAGGAATTTTATTCACTCTGCTCCTCGTCTGTCATGAGCTGACAGATTCTGAAGTTTTCAGCTTTTTGATCTGATCTGATGTTTTAACGTCTCTCAGATACCAACGATGCAGACAAACCTAAAACTTTTTATTAAAGGGAAGCAGCTGATTTTTGTGCTCTAACTGAGTTACAGATTCACATGTGAGCTTCAGTCTGCAGGAATAAGACAGAAAACAACTTAATTACTGAGCTGACGCTGCTGATTTATCCATGAATTCTTGTGACTGTTGCAGATTTCTGCAGACCGGAGCCGAGGCCATCGACGCCTGTACCTGGCACCAGTGAGTTCAACCTCACTTTATTTACTCTGAAATGTAATTTCTGAGTTAAGTCTACTCTCACAACATAATGCATGCAGTCACAAGCGGCGTGCATAAAAACGTTGCATTTTAACTGTAAATGTGAAAAATGTCACATTTACAGCCTGAAAGCTTCTCCGTCCATCGGAGGAAATTAAAAGTTTATGCACTCCTACTGACAGTGAGATACTTTTCCCATGCTTTTATTGTGAAACTGCAAATGTACATATCAGTCAGAGACTGTTCAGAACAAATTATTTAGCATTTGTAACACAAATCTTGTTGCAAGGAAACAGAATGTCAAAGTTATTAAAACTTAACAAAATTCTAATATTTTTAGTCCAACCGACATTCAGTGGATATAAAGTGTCTGTATGCTCCCATAAAGACAACAAAACCAACATGAATCTGTCTCCAAATGTTTGTTTGAAGTCTCCTAATTTTGAATTTATTAAACCATAAATTCAGAAAATAGTTTTGGAAGTTGGTCATAAAGCATCAATACTTTCTTCAGAAAGTCCAAAATTCTGAATCATAATAAGACAAGAAGAGATTTAAGTCAAGATAAGATTATTATTCATCATCCACACTGACAGTTAGTTTGGGTGATAAATTAGGCTTGACAATGATCACATCATCCACAAACAGCTGAGCACTGGTTGAGACCAGCAGTGGTCCTAAACTCGAGCCCTGAGGCACACCTGATTTAATTTTAAAGGATATCGGCCTGAAACACTGTTCTTTTACTCCCAAGCCTTCATGCTGGTTTACTGCTGTGAATGCTTCATTCATAACTCATAAAATAAACTTGCTCTGCTGTTTGTCAGTTATTACGTGAACGGCAGAGACACATCTGTGAAGGACTTCCTGGATCCTGAAATTCTGGACTCACTGGCCTTAAAGACCAATGAAGTCATGAAGGTAATGCTGTGCTGTGTGCCAGCAGCTCTGTGCTGGGTGTGTTCGGAGTTTCACCAGGTTTGTTTCTTCTCATCCGGCTCAGAAAGTGAAGCTGGTGTCTCCAGGGAAGTCGGTTTGGCTCGGAGAGACAAGCTCGGCGTACGGAGGAGGAGCTGCAGGACTGTCGGACACGTTCGTCGCAGGATTCATGTGAGTCCCTCATGTCTGCCCTGCTTTAGTCTTCTCTCTGAACATCATGAACGTCGTGTTGTATTCAGCCAGACCTTCAGTCAGACCTGAAACATAAAGCCATCATGAAGGCATTCAGGCATGAGCTCGGAGACCATTTCCTCGTAGTCTTCTAGACCTCTGGACCTCGTTGGTGTTTTTCAGACTGATTTCTTTCTTTCAGTAAACGATTTTTATTCTGCTGAATGTGTTTTTCTGTGGATGAACATTTCTGCTCTCAGCATC